TGCCGCGCGCCAGCAGCGCCGCCGCCTCGTCCTGCGCGGCGCGCTCCGCCTGGCACCGGGCGCGCACCTGCTGCACCTGCGCCGCCAGCGCGTCGCGGGCCAGCTCGGCCGCGCACTTCTCGCGGAAGGCCTGGTCGCGCGCGGCGCGCAGCGCGGCCAGCTCGGCGTCGCCCTGCCCGCGCCACGAGCCCGCCGCGGGGCCGGCGCTCAGGCTCTGGATCTCGGCCCGGAGCAGCTCGTTCTCCTCCTCCAGGTGCTGCACGCGGACCAGGTAGGCCTCCAGGCGCTTGTTGAGGTCCCACATCTGCAGGGACTCCTCGCCCGCTGCGGGGCGGGAGCCCACGAAGCTCTCCATGGCGGCGGCGGCGGCGCGGCGGGGAAGAGGTGCGCGGAGTCCGGCGGCGGCGGCGCAGCGACCCCCGAGCCCGACCAGGGAAGAAGCGCCCGCGCAGGCGGTCCTGCACGGCTATTCATAGCGCGGGGGAGGCTCTGGAGGGACGGGACGGGGAGGGGGCTGGCCCGGCCCTCCCCTCCCCTCCCCTCCGCTCGCTCCAGCCGCAGCGGCGCGGCCATTGGGCAGCCTCGGGGAAGGCTGGACTGGAGAGCCGCCTTGCGCAGGCACGGGCGCCGGGTCGGAGCGCAGCCTCTCCCGGGCTGAGTTGCCCGGCCAGGGCGCCCCAGCGCAGCGGAGGGGGCCCTGGGCTCTGCGCCCGCGCGTGGGGAGCGGCCTAGAGGATGACGCGCCCCCCCCGGACTGCAGGCGCCTTGCCCTTATGCCGCCCTGCAGCCCTCTCTGGGCCCAGGCATCGCCTCTGGTCCTCCTGATGGGGCCACTCGCTGGAGAAACAGTGCAGGGTGGGGACAGGACCGTTTCTCATCTCCAGCAACCCAGATCTGGGCGCAGGAAATTTTAGTGGACGAGTGATGGATGGCATGGAGAGGAGAAACCCTCATCCTAACCCCTTCCTGGGTCAGACTGCAGGGGCCCGTTTCCCCGCCAGTGCCCGACAAGAAGCACACAAGGAGGGCACGTGACTTCTCCCAGTAGCTGGACGTGGTGCTTCTATCAGACTGATACTTTCAGCAGCTGCTGATCCCTTCTCCTCCTGCATGGCTGGAATGGGTCCCTTGTAAGCCCCCCAACCCCGTGCCACCACCGGCCCCCACAGGTTGCAGCTGGGAGATGCATAGTTCAGGAGTGCGGCATGGTGGGCCAGACACTTCAAGGTCTATGAAAGAGGAAAGCACTTCTCCTTCAAGTATAACATGACAAGGCCCCGTCCTGAATCCTCTTTGGGGAGCAAAGGTCTTTGGCCATGCAGATCTGTGGAAATTGTGCTCCTATTCGTTCTTTCAAAATAACAGAGGGTCTGGAGGCCAGCAAAAGGGAGGCTGTCTGAGGTCCAACCCTGATCCAGGTGCTCAGGCCCAGGTGCTCTTCATTGCAGAGGCCGTCCCACCCTGTGGCACCCGGAGGACTGATAAAGAGAACCTGGCACTAGCTCCATGGATTCCCGTCCGCGTGGGCCGATACACCCGGAGTTACTCCACGGTGCCTACAGTGAGGGGCTGCTGTGTGAATGGTAAGCAGTGAGGTCAGAAGGCGATCTAGTGCAGAACGCGCTTGCTCATGAAATGTATTGGGATTTGGGGGCTGCAAGAAGCTTCCTGGCCTTGGCCGTAGCGGGGCAGCGCAGCCACTGTTCCAGGAACAGCACTTTGTCAAGACTGGAACTGGCCAGGTGCTTCCTGCAGTGCCTTCCTTGTTGCCAGAATCTTGCAGTGAGTCAGGACAGTGACAACACCTGCTTACAGCACCCTCCGTAACTTCTTGCAGCTGCTTCCCTGTTTTCTCCTTCCACGGGGGTGGTGGGGAGACAGAATCGCTGCTTGGTTGGTGGGGCTAGGAGCCCCCTGCCTGGGTGCTGCTCTGTGGAAAGGAGCAACATGAAGTAATCACTGACTCCCCAGAAAATATGAGTGAGGGAAGCAAGGTGCTCCACTAAAGCCCTCCTGGTGGTACCACGACATGCCAGAACTAGGCCAGGCAGGGGGTTTGTGCCCCAAAACATAGGCAATGGCACCCCCTGGTGGACAATGTTGGCATCAGCAGCAGGGAAGGGAAGCTGTGGGCACTTCTGGCTTTCTGTTCTGAACGGCCGTGAGTGAGGAAGAATTCTGCATGAGCGCAGAGGCTGCTGGACAGCCCTTCGGGCGTCCCCGGGGTCCAGATAAGGTGTGTTCCTGCCTTGCTCAGTGCAACCGACCCAGGGTGCTTTCCTCACAAACAGCAGTGAGACAAAGTGGCCAAGACTTGGCAGTGGGGTCTCAGTGCAGTGGCACGAAGGAGGTCTCTCAACCGCCCCCCCAGGTGTGTGTGAGGGATGCTGTGACCTCTGTGGCCGATCGTTCTCGCCGCAATTCCAGTTCTGTGCAAGTCGGCTGCGCCTCCCGTGTGAGGTGAAGTGAGGTGAGGGCTGTGGTTACAGGATGCTGGGAGCCACTCTTCTGCTAGTCAAGGTGGAAGCACCAAGTGGGAGCTTTTCCAGGGAGCAGCCACAGGTGCTGCCCCAGTGTCGGGGGTCTGACACGACCGTCCGCTCATCCCTAGCTCTACCTGTGCTGTTGCTGCCAGGGAGGCCAGCTTCACTGGCCTGCCAGCCAGTCAACTCTGGCAGAGCCCACCCGGCCAGTCTCCAGGGCACCAGCAGCACAGGGTTCTGTGGCGGTGGTGAGGTCAGAGCATGCGGGAGACCCCTCGGCGAGGCTGCTGGCGCCCATGCAGGGCAGCATCCGCGGACTGCTGCCCACCCACCGCTGTTCCTAGCCCAGCTGTCCAAGGAGGGGTGGAAGGTTGGATCTGGAAAGACATTTGCTTTCCCATGTGACTGAGCGCTCTGCAGGGGCATTGTGGGAAGCTCGAAGAATGGCTGGAGAGCACGCCCGGAGCAGCCGAGAGTAATGTCACTGTGGCCAGGGAAGCCCACCGGGGGCTGGATCATGCAGCAGGAATTTCCTGCCCTGCTGAGCTTCAATACCCCTCCTGTTGAACACAGAGTTTGGGTGGAAGGCAGTCTGAAGTGTCTGAGCACCCATCTGCCCTGCCAGCACAGTTCCAAGTGGACAAGCTGCTGCTCCTGGACCGACCGCCCAGCTCAAACACGTGTGGCGACTGCTTCTGGACACAGCCAGCCACAGGGGCCACTGGAGGGCCACCTCGACCACGATATGGCATCTAAAGGAACTGCGCTGGGACAGCGATTTTGCACAGCTTAGCTGTGGCCTCATGAAAGGACTCGATTTCCTAAGCCGCATGTGTGTTCTTCCATGGGGCAGAGAGGTCCGAAATCCATGCCAACCACCTTACAAAGAAGTGAGAGAGTGGTGATGGGGTCATGGCAGGAGGGAGCTCCCGCTGAGCGGCTGCTGGTACAGGGAGACAATCCCCTCTTGCACCCGGCATCCCCAGAAATCTTTGCAGCAAAACTCCTCCTTGGTGTGCGCGCAGGTTGTGTTGTTTGTTCGTGGCACGGGGCGCTCAGAAGTACCACAGGCAGAGTCCTACCAGAGCCCTTGGCAAGAGCTGTGTTTGCCAAGGGCCAGGGTTCGGTTGGCAAGGTTGCTTGACAGGCAGCGAGCCACACCAAAAGGCCATCCCCCGAGACCCACTCCTGGTCAGGCCTGGCAGCCCCAAAAGAGGACCTCAACCTTGTGGGACCCAGGGAGGCTGCAGGAGGATATTTGGAGCAACTCCTCCACCAGCACCAAGGATCCTGCAGAGCTGCAGGCATCACGTGTCCAGCAGAGACCAGCATTGGTGTGGATGAGCAGAAAATGGGGCAGCCAGTGCTGTGAACATATGCAGCAGAGCGAGCGCAGCTTTCGTTTGCCAAGCCTGTTTGTGAGGTGAAAGTACCATCTCGGGTTTTCTCCGGAAAAGCTGCTGCACCAGCAAGCTCTCCAGGTGATGGGCTTTGGAACATGCACCCCCTCAAGGCCCCAGCAGGAACTGGGGCCTCCTGCCCTCAAGATGCCTGTGTGTGGAAACATCAGGCAGGGGGGCTGCTGGCGGGGAAGAGTGAAGTTCACACAGGAAGAACTGCCAAAGCAAGCAGAGATGCCAGTGTATCCAAGGCACACACCTGTATCAGCAGCTTCTTAATACCCCCTCGGTAATCCAGCATATTGCAATTCTGTGACAAAGGAGGGGAGCACTGAGAGACTAAAGCCACCACTCAGGTTCTTCTTTCTTGGGGGTGGGTTGTCACTTCGATGCAGCTGGGGCCATGCAGAGGGGCTGGGCAGCACGTGGCAAGGGAGAACGCTGAAGAGGGGATTTGGGGAACTCCTTACATGAGGTTATGACCCTTTCTGAATGTATTCGGATGAGAACCTCTCAAAAAGGCTGCAGGACTTCAAAACACAACGGACAGTGACACGAAGCAACTGCAAACAGCTTTTTTTTAAAAAGGCATTCAACTGCTTTTATTTCAAAGTGGCTGATCAGCGCTCCCAACCCCCTAGAAATTACTAACTCAAAGCGCAGAGCCGGCAAACGGCTGGCCAGGAGAGATGTGGGTCGGCCGGGCAGGACAATTTCCTTTTGCTTCTGTAGAAAGGTTGGATCTCGACTCCTTCCCCACCGAGTGGCAGAGACAGTAAGCCAAGAACGATGAAATCTGGTTCTTAGCACCCAGGGAAACCAGCAGGTCAGGATCGGGTCAGAAGAGCAGGCAGAGTTGGCCAGCTACAGGCTGGGGAGCAAGCAGAAAGAGCGAGCCATCAGTGGCAGGGCAGGGACCAGGCGGGCAGCCACCGCTGGGCAGCTGGGCCCAGTGAGGAGGCATTCTTCACCCTGGAGCGCGTGATCGTGCGGACTCGGTTCCGCAGGAGGCTGGCTCGTTCTTGGAGGGCAGGACCGGATGTGCACACGGGCTTCCAGATCTCCCAGCTGCCCAAACACAGGTTCTGACCCACAGTGATCCCATTTTTGGCAGAGGTGTTCCCCTTCCCCCGGGGGCAGCGATGCCAGAACGCCGCACCCTGCGAGGGGCTCAGCTCCCCTGCGGCTCCCGAATCGCCTGCCTTGGCAGAACTTCCCTCTGCTGTCTCTACACCAGAGCTCTCTGGGAAGCCCTTTCCCAGCCCGGCCTGCTGTCTTCCCCAGCACTTCAGCCGCCCCCACAGAGAACAGCACAAGCCCCCGTGCATCACCTCTCCTTGTGATCTCTGCTCTCCTCCTCATCCTCCTCTTCATCCTGCTCCTGCTCCTGCTCCTTGACGGCAGCCACCTCCTTCCCCTCATCCTCTGCTCCTGGCATGGCAGAGAGGTTGCCGCCGCTGCCGCCGCTGTTCTTCTCCTTGTCCCCCGCCTCCGGGAGGCCGCTCTTCTGCTTCTCCACCTCCTTGGGGGCCTCTTCGCATCCTGGCTTCTCACCGGCATCTTCCTGATCCTCCACCTCCTTGATGCGTTTGGGGGAGGAGTCCTGCGAGGAGAGAGGGACACGGTCAGGATGCTTCCCAATCCAGCATGCCTGAAAACGTTTTAGCCTTGGAAAGGTGGACATGTTAAAGGGGAAGGCTGAGAGGAGCAGGGCAGACCTCCCTCAAGTCCATTTGCAGGGACGGCTGGATTTCTGCAACCAAAGAGCACTGATGGTGGAGAATCCTGCATCAGTCAGGATCGGTGCAGAGAACAGGGTTTGAGGTACGCCGCAGAAACTCTCAAGTTTAAATGCGAGGGGCTCCTGCCTCCGAAGGCCAAAGATGAAGCTCTGAACTGCTTCAGGGAGGCTGTGCTGCCGGCAAACCTCGCTTGCCCCAGGCAGCCTCGAGCCGAGGAGCCCGGCGGGCAGGGGCGCCACTCCTACCTCCAGGCCACCCTCGGCTTTCCGCTTGCTTCCGGCCTTCTCGTTCTTCTCCTTGGACTGCTCGTCAATCACCAGGTTGCCTTCCTCGTCGCTGCTCCCCTCAGGGCTGCCTTTCTTCTCACCTTCCTGTTCCCGTCCAGCTTTGGCGTCTTCCATGGTACCCTTTTTCTGGGTGGGCTGCGCGAAGGAGTGGCAGGCAAATGAGGAGGGATGCACTTGGAAGGCAGGGGGCCTCGGCAGGTCCGGGCCCAGGTGCGCCCCCCCCAGGACTGGGTCAAAAGGGGCTGCGGGCACTGACTTGCCTGCCCAAGAAAGGGGGCTCCCACCTTGTGACGGAGCTTCACCCCCTCATTTGGTGTCCCAGAGAACAGGAAGGGAGCCCCGTGGACAGAGAGGCTGGGCTGGAACAGGCTGGTACGGCTGCGGAATCCTCCCCTGCCTCTGGAGTTCCTGTACAATCCAGGCCCCCCAGAAAGCCGGGGGAGGCCCTGCACCATGCCGCTGAGCCAGGGTCTGTGCCACTCCAGCGTGCAGGGGAGGCATTCCAAGCGAGAGGCCCCGGCTCTGCTGGGAGTCCTGCTCTGGAGGATGAGCAGGGCCCTGGAGCCTCCCCGAGGCTGAGAAGTGCACCCGTGGTTCCTTCCATTGGCCCCACACTCCGGCCTTCCCCAGCGGGGTGCCCACTGGACGGCAGCTCCTGCCAGCCCCAGGCCGGAGGCCAATGGCTGGGGATTGCAGGTTCTCCACGCTAAAACAATGGCTGGCACCGTACTGGGGAAGTATTTACGCGGAGCACTGGGGCTCAGCAGCCAGGACTCCAGCAGGGCCCTGGTGCACCGGGGAGTGAAGGCGTGTGCTGCCTCGCATGGAGCCCCATCCGCCCCCGGGGCAGCACGTCAGGCTGGTCTGCCCAGCTGCCACAGCCTCCCCCACAACCACAGAAGGCGTACCTGGTATCCAGAGGCCCGGACTGTGGGGTTGTTCTCGATCTCCCAGAGGCCTTCGCTGAAGCCTTTCCGCTTGTTGGCCTTGCCAAATTTGGCCTTGCACTCCTCATACGGGAAGAGGTCTTTGGGGCCCAAGAAGGCCCTGGGCAGAGAAAAACGACAGAGAAGGCACAGGTCACAAAACAGGGCAGGCTAGGCCAGGGCTGCAGTTGCAGGGCTCCCCTTCAAGATACGGACGAGCAGGATGCGGAGGGGGCCACGACTCACTTGCATGGGTGTATCTGCAAGGGGAAGGCCAAGGCCGACAGCTACATTCTGTATCCAGTTATTGGACCTGAGCCCAAAATGTCTCGGAAAAGCCATCCTGGAAAGCCCGCCTGTGTGGAGAGGTTTGAAATTCCTCGTTCATAAATGCCCTGGGTGGCGCCAGATTTTGTAGGGCTGTTCCAACAACAAGAAACCACAAAGAGCTCCACACTCTGGAGTGTGGGAGTGCCAGGGCAGCACGCACCCAGGAGGATGCTGGCTTGGGCAAGGCACCCAGGGCTGCCCGTCTGGGCTGTGACCAATCGAAAAAGGGATCCTGGGGCTGTGGCTGAGACAGTTCAGCCCCGCAAAGTTCACAGCCCGTTTTCGTTACGAAGAGAAGTGCGAAGAAACGGCCCGGCTCACCCTGCCCTCACACAAATCCACGTTGTGGCCACAGCAGGAATATTCTGGGTGGTTCTAATCACCGTGGGTTGAAAATGGTTTTGCAGAGGTGGAAAAGGTGCAGAGAAGGGCCGCCAAAATCATCGAGAGGCAGATAGCTTCCCCTCGAGGAAAGGGGCTGTGTGCTTACAGAAAAGGCCCTTAAGGGGAGATAGGACAGAAATGTATATAATCAGGCATGGTGTGGCAAACTCAAAGAGGCCATCCCTTGGAGCTGATGGGTGGGAAGTTTGGGACAGACGGAAGCGGGGACTTCATACAGCGCATGGATAAAACTATGGAATCTGTCACTACAAGAGGTAGCAATGGCCATTAGTCTGGACGCCTTGAAAGGGTATCCAAACTAATGGGATCAGGCGACTGCATGGAAGAGAGTCAGGCTACTGAGGGCCGCGGTCTGGATGGCTCCATGGGATCGGGATCGGAGGTGGCATGCCTGCATTCTCCTGCTCCTGGGAAGGATGGGGCTGCTGCCCTCACGTCCCGCTTCCTGGGGCACTTGGCTGGCCACAAGGGCAAGAGAATGCTTGGCGGAGAGGTATTCAGTCTCATCCTGCACGGCTTGGTTTGCGTCTTTATGTACTCACGTTTCATGAGTTCCAAAGAAAAAGACTTGGTATTTGTTGGAGGCCGACTTCACAGCCGATTCGGGCATCTCATCGATCTGTGGGGGGGTGGAGGGGAAATGCATGTTGGTCCAGAAGAGTGTTCTTATTACGGCTGCTTTTGGTAAGATTTCTTTGTGGGCTTTCGTACCCAATCTTATGGCACAATGGCTCTCCCTGGATTCCAGGGCGCCCCTGCCCGGGGGTGGCAGCACAGGAAGAGCTCAGCTGCGGGGAGCCTGTGCCCCAGCCCCGCTGCTGCGTTTGGGCCTACGCCACGCGCAAGCAAGCCCCGCCATCGCTCAGCTGTGAAATCATGTTTGCAGCACCCTGTGACCCACCAGCACCTCCAGCTGTAGCCGGGGAGGGAGGGGGCCGGTCACAGGGCGGCACAGAAAGCAATGGACGGGCGCCAAGATGCAGGGCAGGCGAGAGAAAGGGCCTCTCCGTGGTGAGGGAAGTTCATTTATGGAACTGCCTGCCACGAAATAGGGCAACTTAGAGGGGAGTCAAAAAGGGGGCTTGAGGGAGTCTTTTGGCCTGAGGAACACGGCCACGGTTCTCCCACCTGACCGGGCCCCTTCCAAGGCCAGGCTCCCACCCTTGGGTGCCGCTTCCCCAGCGCAGCAGCCCCCCCCCCCCCCGGGCCTTTTGCACCCCCCCCCCCGTCTCCCCCACAAGCCACCAAGAGGCATGGCTTGGCCCCAGCAGCGCTTCTGGCCACATGTAAGCTCCTGTCTAGACTGCAGAGACACTTTTGGCTCGGCACGTGTTGCAGCTGGGAAATGAAAGGCTGGCCGGCCGCCGGGGAGGGAGAACAATGGGGTCCGCAAGCCCCGCAGAGCAGCGCAGCCAGGGGGCTGCCCCCCCCGAATTCGAGTAGGATTTCCCGCTCCCTCCCCTCCCCTCTGCACTTGCCTGTGCAGCCCCCTCCCCAGGGGGGCTCCCGACTTCCCTCCGCGGGGCACGTGTGGCACCTGGGCTGCTAAGACCTGCAGCCGGACGCCGGCCCCCTCCAGCAACCGGTCGGGAGGGCAGCCGGCTGGTGCCGCCGGCGCAGTGGGGCTGCTCCCAGCCCGGCCCCGGGGCAGCGCCGCCCGCCACCAGGACTGGCAAGAGGGGAGCCCCTGTGCTTTGCCACCCGAGTGTCGCAGCGGTGCCAGCCGCTAGGGCTTTCCGAGGCGAAATGGAGGGGGGCCAACAGCGACGCAGAGTCGTGCCGCGGGGCAGCTGAGCGGCCCCGCATGCTCATGGGCTGTGCCACATGGATAGGGGAGGCAGGTCCCATGCCGCTGCCCCACCTCGAAGGCCAACCCACGTGTCCCGTCTGCAGGGATGGGCCCTGAAGCCACTGGCCTTCAGCCGCCGGGAATTCAAAAGAGCAACTGACATTTCCTTCTGTTTAGGGGCATCTTGATCGTGGCTGCAGCTGGCCTGTGACTGTGTTACTAGCCCACTTTGGGGGTGGACCGAACTGGTGTGATCTGGATGATTCTGACTAATCGTCTCGCTGTGCACGAACCTCTAGCAAGGCTGGGTGGGGAGAGAAGGGGGACTGGCCGGGCCGTGAGTCTGCTGGCACTCTGCCTGTCACTGCCCAGGAGAACCAGCTGGGTCGGGGCAGGTCTCGGTTCAGTGGGGTGACCCCAACCCTCTAATGTGGTTTGCTAGGGAACCCCTGGGTGCCAGTGAGGACCCTCTCCAAACCCCCGCCCAGGCCATGACGGGCGTGAGGCCCCCACTGGCCCCGGCGCTTGCCTTCTGCCCTGCGTGTGAGTTTCCCTTGGGACACCTGGTCAGCGTGTGGTACGAAATGGGCCACCTTTGGCCAGGTGCAGGCGCAGGGCTCTTCTTACATGCTTGGCAGCTGGAGAAGGGGCACAGGTGCAGCAGAAGCACCAGGAGCCAGGGAGGGAACCTTCTGGGAGAATCATTCTAGCAACTGAAAGTGCTGGTGTAACTTTGGGCCTCAGAAGCCACAGCCACTGGCCACAAATGGAGCCCAGAAACCTGGCTCAGACGCCCGAGATGGACGCCCCATCTCCCTCACTGCTTCCGCACAGAAGTCCCCCAATCAGCCAGTGGTGGTGGTACCTCTGGAGACACAAACCCACAGCCGCTAAGGCCAGCAGGTGCGGCTTCTCCTGGCAGGGAGGTGTGGTGGGGGGGGCTCTGCAGCACAAAGGGACAAAGGCGCCCTCACAAAGAGGAGGGCTGGAAGGCGGCCTCAGAGCTCCCATCCCCCAGGCGGAAGAGCCAACGAACATTTGGGAAGCTGCCCCCACCCACAGCATCTCAGGAAGTGCTGCCCAGAACCCGCAGCCGTGTGCGCCTCTCCGAGCCTCCTGCACAGCAGGACCTAACCTGCAATCGCCCTCTTGCTTCACTCGTTCGCTCGCAAAGCGTTCGCACCGCTTTTTGACTAACATTCCCAAAGCTGGGCGCAGGCGCATTAACGGTGCAACAAGGAAGAACTGGGACCAAGAGAGTCAGCATGAAATGCACACTCAAACTGGGGGGAGAACCAACCCCATCCCTGGCAGCACCACGGGAGACTCCTCCTCTCCTGCGCTTCCGGGAGATCCCCAAAGCAGTGACCTAGGGAACCGCTGTCTGTGGTGGCTTCCTTGCTCACTAGCCGGCCAACTGTAGGACATGTGGATGGCTGCTGACAGAGGCGGCTTTTAGAAAGGAGAACGGGCCAGTCAGGGGGACCGGCCAAAAGCCCTTGTCATGCACCCCGACTACAGACCTGGCAAGGCCAGAAGGCAACTGCAGAGGCCAGCACCGGGGCTCGGCTGCCTGGGCTCGCACCGCGGAGGCCCAGCGCTCTGGTGGCCCTCCGAGGGGAAACCCGATCCCGCCCCCTCGCCCCCCCCCCACGCTGCCAGGGCCAGCTCCTCCAGCAGCCCCTTCAGGCTCAGGGCAACCACCAGCTGGCGCGGCTTCTGCTTCGTCATCCGCAGGACGGAGCTCACTCGGATCTCCTTTCAGGGGAAGGCAGGCGGCCAGGGCCAAGCAAACGCTCAGCTCAGAACGGAGACGTGGAGCCTGGGACATGGCCGGCCACACATGTCAACACATGATTATCTGGAGGGAAGGCGGCAGCTGGGGGAGGGGGCAAGCGGCCCTCTTTCCCTCGGGGGCATGAGAGAAGCAGAAGCAAAACACCCCCACCCAGGATAAACAACTCCTGGCTTGGCACGCCCGGAGCGGGACAAAGAGCGCCGGGAAGGGTCAGGTGCCCGTTAAACATTAGAAGCTGCTCCGTCACCCGGAAGGCTGGCACAAAGGGGGCCATGGCAGCGGAGCAGGCTGCCCAAAGCCCCCCCCCCACGGACCAGAGCACGCGGGCCCGGTGGCAGTGGCAACGACGGCTCGCGGAGGGAGGGCAGCCACAGCGTGCCCAAGCCGGGCTCCCGCTCGGCTTGGCACCGGCCCCGTCGCCACATTAACACATGCATGACGGGCCCTCTGCCGCAGCGCTTGCTGGGCTGGCTGGGTCCTGCACGTCGGGCTGCGGTCGGCAAGGGCAGCCGCACCATGCCCCCTCTCCAGGCCAGGAGCCCCCTGTAAGGGGCAGCTCTCCCCAGGCGCGCGCTGTCCCCGCACACGCGCGCGTCGGCAGCTGGGGGAGGCAGGCGGGCGGGCGGGCAGGGGGCTGCTGGCCCGATGCCATTCTCACTGGCATACCGGCTGGTTCCGCCCACTGAGCCCCGCTGTCCCGCTGGGTCTTTGGCCAGGGGAGCCTGCTGTAGGGGAGCTGGGCAGACTGGACAGTCCGGCTCATGGGCCAGTTCCCCGGCCCGAGGGTGGCCTTGCCCAGTGACCTGGTGGGCACCCTCTCACCTGCCGGCACACCCGATGCCCAGGTGCGGCACGGAGCGGCCTGGGGTGCTCCCTAGGCGGCTGGAGACACACAGAGCAGCAATGCGGGGGGCCGGCAGCACTGTGACCTGGGGGAGCAGCGGGGGCCCTAGAGCCAGGGTGCCTGCGTGCCGCCACACTGGCCCTCCACGGGCATGCCACGGAGCAGCCACGGAGAGGCACGCTCCCTCGCTCGCTGCCCGGCCCGAAAGGCCTCAAGCACCCACTGCCCTCCGCTCACTCCGCTCCTCCTCGCTTAATAGCACACCAGAATAGACTCTGAGCAGGTGGGGCCGGGAGGCTACCTCTCTTGTGGAAACCTGCTCATTAGGGAGCGGGTGGGACAGACCAGGACGACATACGCCCAGACACAAGCCTGCATGGCAGAGCCGCACTGGTGTGTCTCAGCCGAGGCCAGGAGCAAGCCAAAACAAATGCACACAATATACACACGGGCACAAACACACCGAGAGCACGAGCGAGGCGAAGGGAGAGCCACTCCTAGATGGCTGCCTCTGGGCAAAGGGTGTGTTTCAAGAAGTTTGTGCTTGCAAAGGGGCAGGAACGCAGACCGGTGCTCAGCCCTGCTTGCCAGGCGAACTGGGAGGAAGGCTGAGCCAGGCGAGGGGGGGGGGCTGGGGATGCCGCGCTCGGACAGGTGCCTGCCTCCCTCTTCTGGGCCCTGCCCTTGCAGGTCAACAGCGCAACAGGCTCACCCTTCCAGGAACCAAGCAGGGCTGCACAAGGAAGAGAGAAAGCCACTCCTTTACTAGTGTGTCACCATGATGACTCTGCAGAGCGGGGCAGTAAATTCAAGCTTGGTCGCCGACCAGCATTCCCAGCTCCATACGCAAAGCTGAATAGATTCCCCGCCACTCCTCTGAGATCGGGACGGGGAGGAGCCAGCTCTGTGGCATGTTTGATAACAAGGGCTAAAACTGCCCTTAAAGTGATGCTGAGCATAAATTGTCTTGAATCTGTACGTTAAATATGACCGGTTGCGTGTTTAATCCGAGTTTTGGACCAGCAAGACTGTTTCATGCTTTAGACTGCAATTCAGCAAGGTTTTCTTTACTCTTTACCCTTTCCCGGGTGAATGTGCTGCCCAGATGGCTTGTAATTAACGTTTTTAATGCTTTAATACTTTATATAAATGTTTCAACAATGGTTAGGTACTTTTATTGTATTCTGATGATTATATAACTAATTGGCCAACCATTTGGAAGCATTTTAAAATATATGCAGCCATACATACACCAAGTATATAAAGAAGCAGGATGAATTAGCCTGGAATAAGGTTTGGACTTAAACCCTTATGCCTCACCTCCACCCATAAGCAAGTCAATGGTGCACAAGCTGCAAAGACTGGACCACCTCCGGGAACATCGTCTTTCCTATAAGCCAGCCTTTGAGGTCCTCCTTCCCACCCTGTGGCGCCCGTAATCGGGAAGGCGAGTACACAGAGGGGGGCTTCCGGGTAGTGGCACCCACCTTCTCTGTACCCTTTAAGGCATAACCAGGAAACCTTCAAGTATCTGCAGCTTTTAAGAATTTTTGAGTTTCTGCTTTTAAAACTGCTTAAATCCTGCCACTTTTAGCTCTTATGTCTACTTTTTAATTGCTCCAAATGGTCTTTTAATTTCTTTCTGCACAGAGCAACGTTTTGCAGTGAGAATGAAAACCGAAGGCAGAGGAACCATCTTTTCCTACACCCTGGGTGGAAGGTAGCTATTTATTTATTACATTTCTACCCTGCTCTTTCGCCAGGATGGTTCTGGGGGCATCTTTCCTCCCTGCACTTTGGGTCTTTTGGCAGAAACGGTGCGACGATATCGAGACGCCCCCGCCTGCTCCTCGCCCCCGATGGCTCCGCCGTCTCTTTTGGGTGGGAAGTAGCACCAGGCGAGGCCTGTCCAGTCCTGACTTAGGAAACTCCCTTAACCACCAGACAATGCAACACACACAAAGCTAACAGCAATAGCAACAGTGGCAATCTCTGGAAGAGTAACAACAACACACACATCAAGAAGAAAGGTGCAGGTCTGAGCCCTCCTGCAGGGTTTAGGGTTAGGCTGAGATAGCCGCCACGTTTAAGGGGGAGCAGAGGGGCGCTCGCGCAATGCTGCATGGTGGGGGGGGATTAGCGGGGTTCCTCAAGCAAGAAGCAGCCAGGTGGCTGCGGCCCTGGCAGGGACGGGACCGGACGGGGCGGGAGGTTGGGCCAGCTCCGTGAGCCTGTGGGGCCAGCGGGGGGGGGGGCGGCATCACCGAGGGAGCTTTGATGTGGTGAAACGGGAGACACCGCCGGGAATAAAGGGGCCATCTGGTATCCCTGGATGGATGCTGCGCACCCTTAATAATCTCAGCCCTGCGGCACAAGGGGGCCTCTTCCGTGTAACCAAGAGCCAGGTCTTTTCATGTTGTGGCAAAACCACAAGGCCTGCCCAGCTCCCTTCCTCTGTCTGGAGGGAGGCCGGCCGGCCGGCCGGCTCTTGTTCTGCCTCCCTCCTCCCCATCCCACCAACGGCTGGGCCGGCCAGGCAGACAGCCTCTGGGGCCAGGCAGCAGCCTTGGCCGTGAGAAGGCTGTTCTCGTGCCAGGCAGTGGGGCAGGTCCATTCAACCCAGTGGTGGTCAAGGTCACAGGAAAAATGGCATTGGAGGGGAGAAGGGGGCAGCAGGCATGGGCTTCCTTCCAAGAGACAAAGAAACTTATTTCATGAGAGAAGGTTGAGCAAGCTCCAGGCAGGAAAAAGTACTTTGAGGAAAGACGAGAGTCGGCCTGGAGGGAAGCAGGGCCCCCAGCAAGGCCTGCGCCTAAACAGGAAGGCGAATGAAAAAGCCCACCTTTACTGGCCCAGGCAGGCCGCATAGTAGCCAAGATGCGCCTACGCACAGGGCTAACAGTCCCCCACCCCCACGTGCCAGCCACTGTCTCACTCTTGCGCGCGCGCGCGCGCACACACACACACACACACACAGAGGGATTTCGGTTGAAGGGGATGTGCCAATGCAAAACTCAACCTCTCCATCGACCAACCTGACCTCTGTCGCAGCAGATCAAGCAAAAGCACTGCACAGAGGGCTTATCTGTACGCTCACACGCCTGGCAGGGGCCTCTGTGACAGGGCAGCTCCCGGCTTCCTCATCTGCTCGCTCCCCATCTTTGTGGCAGCTCTCACCTGCTCAGATGTGCCAGGTGGGGTGTTTATCCTCACAGGCCCTGTGGGGAAAACTGGAGCCTCGGGTCGCATCCGAATGCTGAGGGGGTGGGGAAGGAAGTGAGCTCGATGGCGTCGGGAGCACATGGCTGGCTACTTTTGGCTGAGGCCAGTAAAATCGGGATTTCCAAAATCCATCCAAAAACAAAGACTCCTATTTTATAGATGTCTACTCAAACAAATCTGCTTTGCATTCGATGAGGTTCCCTCCCAGGTAAGTGGGCAAACTGTCTAGCTGAAGGATCTGCAAAGAAAACCAGGTGCTCCACAGTAATTTTGGGTTTCTTTACTGTACTGCTTCTTTATGTAATGCGTATAAAAATGGGGCAACCATCACACAAGAGTTTCTATGAGAGCACCCTGGATGTTTCATCAAACACCCCGCTGGTCTTTTTTTGTGTGTGTAAAATAATGAATCGGGGGCTACTGGCTTGTATTCTTGTGGTTATTTTGTGTTGCATGTTCTGCTATATTGTTTTAATGGTTTATGGCTTGGGTTAAGCGGTTAAAACCTTTCTGGCTGAACAATTAACTGAGCTGACTTTTATGCAAATGTACACAGATTTCATCACTCAAAGCAATGAAAACTCCTGGGGTTAGATGTCTTCATTAATCAGGCACCTGTCATGCAGCTCAGCCGGAGCAGGTTTACTCAGGAGTAAACCCCACCCCCGCATTCCAGGGACAAGCAGACACCAGACTTCACACAGGTGGGTGCAAAGACCTGTATGTCTGTAGACACTCCTGGCCGGGGGGGGGGCGGGGGGGGTGCTGGGACATGCAGGCCAACCTGTATGAAAGGCACCCGCTTGGAGAAGGGAGGTGCAAACTCGAAATAGGTTAAAACAGAAGAGTGACACCATTCAAAATTGCTGCACCCCGTTTATTTATTACTACATTTCTATCCCCGCTTTTTCCACTCACAAGGAACTCAAGACCTCCTCCTCTGAGTTAGGGCAGGCTGGGCCTGCAACCAGTGTCCCGGTGCAGTGGGAACTAGACAGCACTGGTCCTCTCACATCCTGCTCCAGCGCCGTAACCCTGCAGCTGATGCGCTTAGGAGGTGGCCTGTCCCTACAGCAAGATGGTCAACCTCCCCCTGCCCCTTTGGAACAGGCTCTCCCTTTAACAGCAGCCTAAAACCAAGGAAAATAAATACTTGATCATTTTTAGGGGAGGGGGGAAACAAAGTTTCTAACCCTCAAGTTATAAAACCAAGTCAAAAAGTTCTCTAGGGAGGACCTCCCAGTGCTTCAAGTATGTCTTTAATCCTCACATTATTTCTGTAAACTGGGCAAGGATCTTTATTATGCAGATTGCAGACAAGGGGTGGGCAGCCTGAGAGACCAAGTTTATCCAAGGCCACCCTATTATGCAGAGATCTTCCAAAATAATTACCACTGTCTCCATCGATCACTGTGAACACAGATCTGTGGATGGAGCCATGACCCTAACACTAGCCTCTGAAAGGTCAACAGAACAAGAGACCTACTAGATCACGCCCGACCGGGATCAGATGAGCAAACAGCCCACCAACATGAAAAGACACTGTCAGGTCAGATTAATTCCCAAAAGTCAATTGGGGTGGGGGGGCAGTTTCTTCTGGAAAGTTTGTGGGGGGGAGGTGCACTGACCTTTTTTACAGAGTTCGGCCACGGTGGAGAATGTGCTGCTCTAGCTGAGACCGACCAGCCCAACCTTCTGCCAGAGTGGAATGTGGAAGAGGCCTCAGGTGCTGGAGGGGGCGGCTGCACAACACACCCACCTAGCTGCTCCAGGAGCTGCCTCTTCCACGGTGGTCTTGGCATCCACCACCCACCCACAAATATTTGCTAAGACTTCTAACTCTGTGGCCAGGTTTAGCCAGGACTGGAGCCTGTTTTGTGGGCCCAATCCACTGACCAAAATTCAGTTGCTCAGTAATGGGTCCATAAGCGTTAGACGCAACCAATTGTTTTAACGGCACTTTTAAAAACGCTGGGTTTTCCACGGGCCAGCGAGAGACAGGGCCGATTTTCCTTGCCCAGCAGGAAAGGCTCAGCAATGGTTGACAGGCTGCAGAGTTTACAGAGCATATAACACACCAGTCACCTCCTCTTCATCAGCTGCCTTTCTTATGTGCTCAAGAGCAGATCAGGTGTTCATTCATTCACTAAGAGTATAATCCATGCATGTTTGGACAGAAAAGTCTTCTCGTTCCCAGCATTCCCCAACCTACACGGCTGGCTGGAGAGACGCTGGAAAATGCAGGCCTTTCCCCCTAAGTGCATCTGCCCAGTGGTCCACGCTTAGGCTGCAGTCTTATTCAACTGTACTTAACACGGATTCACTGTCAGGAGACGCGGGCAGAACGACACGAGAAATGGCCACTTGTCGGAAATCGGGTATCGGAACTCAAGCCCAGCCCTGCCCCCGATGTAAAAGATCTGCCGGACCCCGCGCAATTTGGCCGCGCTCCTACGGCTTGGATCCGCGCGCACGTGTGCACAGCCACACAGGCTGGGAGCGGGCAGCCCCATCGTCAGGCAGCTCCGAGCGGAGCACCGCGGGGCCTCGAAGGCGCGGGGCGCCGCGCCCGGCCGGCCGGAGAAGCCGCGGGCAGCCGGGGCCGCTTGCCGGGGGAGAGCGCCGGCGCGCTCCGGCCACGAGGCCTTGCGGGCGCCGCGGAGGGGAGCTGGGGAGGCCGCGCCGCCTGGAGCGCCCCGGGGCGGGCGGGCCAACGGAGCCGCCCGGCTGGGCCCCGCCGCT